TTTTCTATTTATGCTCCCTGCCTTGCTAGGGTGAGAGGTGACTATCACTATACCCAGTTTTTATTGGTTGACATGAGGTCTCAAATAATTTTCATCCTGGCTGACCCACTATGATCTTCCTGATCTGATAGGATTACAGGTATGTGACCGGCCTGAGTTCCCTGAATCTTGACTCCCAGTTCCAACTTTCGGCCATATCCCTTTATGTTCCGTTAGGGCTGGGAGACAAACAGGAGCACATGACTCAAAGCTTACAGATGCTTCAGCTCAGAATCCCAAGGAGAAAACAAAGCATTTAGAGTTGAAATTTGTTTCTGACATCATGGGGTCAGAACAGTTACTCTCCTTCCCTCACACACACATGCAGAAAAGAAAAAAGAAAGAAAGAAACCAAAATATTTCAAACAACTTTTAAAAAGCTTTGTGAGGCTTCTTGCACATCAAATGGCTCTTAGAAAACAACATTTTAATGATTTCTGTATAAACAAATCAGAAACATATGGATTAAATTTCCCTTAAAATATACACATGTAATTAAGGGGAAAAGTGCTTGGCAAAACCCTTTTTGCTTTTTATCAAACCCAACACTTGAAAAATAGGTTGAGACATGTGACAAATCCAAAACCAGCAATTCTGCCATCCTACAGCAGCATGCATACTCCACTTCTAAGCAGGGCCCCGGTTCCACCTCAACACACCTTTGTTCCTGCGCTTTCTAAAAGAACTTACTGGACTGTGACAGATTGGTTCCTCAGCCTCTGCGACAATGGTTATGGATCTTCCTTTCTCTGAAGCTGTTTTCAGTTCTGTGGACTAGGGCCCCATGCACAGCACAGTCTGACAGTCTATAGTGTTTGGCATCCTGGTTAGATAAAGGAATGGTCGAGTCTGTGCTCTGCAATTCACACCTTTCCCTCTCTCCTCTGCTAAGGCAGTCCACTCCTCTCTGATACCCTTTGTTGCTAAGCAACATGAAGAAGATTAAGACTGGGTCACTTCCTGTGTCATTTCTTTATCTATGCAAGAAAAGAGTGGTTTGAATTGAAAGCTCTATTCAATTGTACATCCACCATGTTACAGGTATTGTGTTGGGGATCTATCCCTAGAGGTCAACATTCTCACTGGAGCTTGTTCTCTAGGGCCCCCAGGGTTCCCATCATAGTCAACAGTCCTAAGCCAGATACATTGCTTTCCCTTGGATTTTCCCCCAAAAGACCCTGGGCTCCTTTTCTTTCTCTCTCTTCTTCAGTGTGAGTAGATCCCAGAGTTCTCTGGAAGACTTCTTCCTAACAAAGCTCACAACTGTGTGGTCCCCTTCCTCTTGGCTTCCATCAAATTCCTAATGGTTCTCCCATCAGTCTCTAGACAGCTTCTTACTACGTAGCCAGAATCCCAGGCACAATGGCTGCCTCTTTGGCATTTGGCAGAGAAGTGCCTGTCCCTGAAGGGAGAGGACCCAGCCCATCCCACAGGTTCCACAGCCCCCTCCGAGTAGACATTCTAGCACCTGAGTCCTTACCTGCCTCCTAATATTATCTCCCTGATGGTCAGGTGTCAACAATAAAAATGCTCAAGGTTGTTTATATTCAAACCAGAGTGACCACCACATGCCAGGCTCCATTTACGTATTCTATTCTCAATACAGTGACTCCTATAGATCATTATGCATAGCAACCCCAATGAAGAGTTGTGAAAATGAGAGACTTATTTAGTTACAGATGTACTGGTGGGCAAACCATGGTGCCATGAGTTCCTCAGCAGCTGGAATTCTAGGGGTGCGTCTGGTCCCCGGCCTCCTTCCTTATTTTCCAAGCATTATTCTTTCTTTCTTGGAGAGTATATGAGCTACTCAATATATTTTCAATAACTTTATTTTGCATTTCAATCGGTGTTTTCTGTTGCTTCCTAGAACCATGGGAACACTAGAGTGCTGGTTGGCTTCTCATGTCTTGGAGGCACAGACATCTGTGGAAAACCCATTATGTAAAGAGTGGGGGCTTAGGGCATGGGGGGTGGCAGTAGGCTGACTCAGCAGCTCCCAGTCCTCAGAGAACTCCATGTGGAGAAGGAAGGAATGAAAGCAATGCACTCTTAAAACAAGGCAGAGCTGGAACAAAGGCAGAGACCAAAGCCACTTATATAACCAAAGGCTGGAGGAAGGAAGAAGGCTGAATTTGCTACTTTATAAAAGTAGGCTTTTGGATAAGTATGTAGGGAAAAGGTAGTAGTAACAGTAGACATGACAGAAAGAAGGAGGGTATGCTCCCTGAACAGAAGTGATGGAGTTGGGAAGGGGGAAGAGAGGAGGTGGAAAGTGGAAATAAAAGAGTTGGTTTAAGAGTAGTGTGTTTTTAAAATATTCCTGGTTTTTTGCTTTTAAGGTTATTTTTCCATGCATGCACACACATACAAAATAAACATACACAGATATATACACAATGTATATCAATGTATAGTGACCTAGAACCTAGAGGAAGTTTTATGAGGGACCTGCTGCCCTAGGGACCTAAGAAACCTCAAGCCATTCCTAGAGACACCCAGGAACATGGCTGAACCCCCATGGTGGCAGCAGAGCATGCCCATCTGTCACCACTACTACCACAGACTCTTCCATGCCTAAAACAATGACAACCACAAAGGAAAGCACTGACAAGGCTGCCAAAAGGCAGGAAGCAGAGAGGGGAAAGCCAGGAGGATTTATCAGCTAGTCATCGAGGGCTAGAAATTATACCCCAGAACACAGCACACAGAAGCTCTTAAACATCAGAGCACTCTGCTATATATTCATGGAAGTCTGAGCTACCAGGGAGAGCAACCTTGTACTGGGTGCCTTTGTTCAGGAACAAGATTTCTTCCCTGAAAATAGCATAGCCAGTGACAAAGATTGGAGCATATGTTTGGAGTACATGTCATCAATAACTAGATCTGAGCTGGAGGGCCTTCTAAACATGAAATGTATTTTTGCAGCTTGAAAAGAAAAAAAAGAGAGACTGGGGATGGTTTGAATTAGATAGAGTGGAGACAGGAATTTTCCTAAAATCCTCTTCCTTTTCCCCTGGGCAGCTACTCACTGCCTGGCTGAGACAAGAAATAGTGTCTGGCTGACCCTGGTCCATTGCTACAGCCTGGATAGACAATGGTCAAGTCTGGGTATGTGATGACAAGCAGGTCCCAGGAGGGCAACCAAGGATGACTTTAAATAGTATTACTTCCCATGGCTCAAGTGATCAGACTGACTATTAGGATTCTGGCTGATGGTAGCTTGGATCCCTTAGATACCGCTACCATCGAAAGGTATAATTATGTCTTTAAAGCTCAAGGTGCAATTAAATCTTCATAATGGTGCTAATGGCTCAAGCAACCTTGGAATAGCTGTCATATTTTAAAGGATAATTCTGAATTGTTTTATGCCTGAAATTGCTCTGTAAAAATGCTGTTAATTTTTCAGCTCCTGATAGAGTGTATTCAATACTGAAAAGGTAGCTTTCTTTCAGTAGTTTCACTCAAGTCTGCCTCAGCTAACAAGATCATCCTGGAGCTACAAACCCCACTGAACAATGTTAGGTACAACACTCTAAGGCTTCATTCTATTTGTTTCCTAAGCAAGAATACAAATTAAGAGTTCAGGTCACAGGGCATGGCCCAGCCCAATGTCACCTGAAGGTATTTCTGACTGACATTACTTCTCTAAACAGGAGGAACACAAAAAAATCTCTTTGTGGTGCTGACCACGTGAGCAAATGGCAGGTCCATCCCTGAGAATTTCCATTGTCCCCTGGGTTTCCATAACTGTGGCTGTAATATGACATCGGGTATTTGAATTATCTTATTACCTGGCTGTTCCACAGTAAGCTGTGAACTCCCTGAAAAGGGGCTATTGTTTGGTTTACCGTGAACCCCAAAAGTTGTTCAAAATAATAATAAGCAGGGGCTGACTTTGAAAGGTAGGTGACAGGCAAACCAGAAAAGAGAAACACTAAGTACCCAGTCACAAACGCACAAGAAACTTGTTTCAGAGGCAGTGAATTGGAAGCTCGTTCATCACTGAAAGAACACCTTAAATAGTGACCTAAAACAATCTAATGAATATTTGTGATATTTTCCAACAGTAACAAAGACATCTCCAAGTTTACAGAGCACTTTTCACGTGCAACTGCTGTGGCACAGGCTATTCACCTATCATTCCATACCTTTCTTAACCCTACAAGGAGGAAGTTCTCATTATCCCTTCTTAATACAGAGGGGAAATAAGGCTCAAGAAAACAGGTTCTTTCCCACAAGGGGAAGAGCAAGAGTCAGACCCATAGCTTTTGTTCATGACTATTGCATAGCCACATATAATTTGGAAATCGAATGCTGAAATAAAAACTGGCCCAGTATATCTTTGCTAATTGGATAACAGATATTGGGTCAGAATCTTATTATAAATACATGATGATTTTCTGACTTACATATCTCAAAGGACGGCTCTATGTTTAAGAACCTTCCAGGTCATAGAGCCAATCATCAATGATGGGAGTGAAAAAAGTTGAGAATAACGTAAGCCCATCTTACTTAGTCCTCACAGCCATCCTGAATATTATTCCCATCCTAGTCAGGAGAGAAAAGATTATGCTGCCTGGATCATAGCTAAAAAACAGTCATATCCCCTGCTTTGCATGGTTGATGGCTGTTTTTTTTTGTGCTAGAACAGCAGAGCTGAGCAGGTTAAGCAGATGCAACAGAGAATGCATGGCAGTCAAAACCAGAGACACTATTTGACCCTTTACAGAAAGTTTGGCGGCTCCTGGACTACATCTTAGAGGGCTCAATGCAAACAACAAGCTTAGAAACAGCAGTTCAGTCTCCAGGCAGAACAAGTACTGCTTCACCCACCCAAGTGGCAAACTCAGCTTTCTGAAAACAGGAAGAATACTGCATTACAAACCAACAAGTTCTTGCCCAAAAGCACCTGGACTCATCACCCTCCATAAAAGAGCAGCAGCAGTAGGGAATCTTACCTTTATTGTACATGTTGGTTGGTACTTGCACATCACTCAGACTGATGTTCACAGGCAAATTATTAAAATGGTCATTTGGGGCTAAGATGAATTCCTTCCCCAGTTCCAAAAAATTTCCGTCTTTGTCCCTTTCGTTTATCAGCACAGCATTGAAGTATTCATACTGAAAGAGAAAGTCAGAAAAAGTTACAATGGCTTAGGGAAGAAGGATGGGAACTCAGAAAGACTTGGATAAGTGTCACATGCTATCCCTCTACTCTAATGGAGGCTGATCTACTCAGGTAGTCTCTTTATGACTTATATGTTGTCTACAGACACATTTGCACAGATGAGACATTATATAACTATTTGTCCATGTCATTAAATGTTCTTGAAAAACCATCAATTCACTTCCATATCTGAATATGGACAAAATTGCCCTAAAACATTTTAAGTCCTTACATTTTGAAAACAGAACTTTCCCACATGCAGCTGAAAGCTGAAAATCAATAAGCAACAAGTATATATATATATATATATATATATATATAATATATATAATCATTATCTCATATAAATAGATTTACTTTATCCTAGAAATTATTCTAAGCTTCTCATAAGATAATTCACTTGATTTTCCAAATAATCTATTAAGTAAAATTATTATGAGAGTTCCAACTTCACGAATTAAGAGAAAAAGATACAGAGAATTTATGCATCCTGCCAAAGATTATATAACTGGCAAGCAGAGTGAGAATTCTGACACACTATCGCCCATATATGTGCCCTCTTATACTGTGTAATATTGCAATATAGGTACAGGTACAGCTGGAATGAACAAACTAAGACGGTAAAAGAACTATTGTTTTTTATTGTACTGTTTATGGCTCTTTTCCTTTTTTCTTTTGTCTTTGGTGTATTCTCTTTGGTCCTTGTTTTTTTTTTTTTTTCTGTACCTTCTGTCTTACATATAAAAGTTTATCTGATTTGGGGAGATGAAGGGGAGCCAAATCAGCAGTGATACTCACTAGACACTATGTTGGGAATAAACTATACAACTTGAGGGGCTGGTCAGGAGGAGAAAATTGGGAGAAAATGAGGGGGTGGGGTAATACTGTTAAAAAAGAAATGTACTCATTACCTGACGATGGAACTATAACCCCTCTCTACATATCGCCTTTACAATATTTTTTAAAAGAGAACTATAGTTCCTATAATAAGGACTTTTTTAAAGCTTGAGGGGAAACCTATGTTTTCTATAGAAAAGCAGGAATCAGTATTATATCAGATTCCTCTTCAGCAACTAAAGCAAAAAGAGAGAATGAACTGCTTAAAGTACTAACCTAATGGGAAAAAGGATTCAGATTTTTTTGGTTTGATGGTGGGGGGAGTACAGTGGTGGGACATGAGCTCAAGAACTTGTGCTCTTGCTTGCTTTTTCCTCTCAAGACTGATGCTGTACCACCTGAACAATACTTCTATTTCCAGCTTTTTGCTAGTTAATTGGAGATGAAAGTCTCGTGACTTTTCTGCTCCCCCAATTCTCAGATCTCAGCCCCCTGAGTAATTAGGATTATAGACCTGAGCCACTCACATCAGTCCAGATTTAGAATTTTGGATTCAGAAGAAGTGTCCCTCATAAATGAAAGAGAAATAAAGACCTGCTCAGACAAACAAAAACTGAGTGAATTTCTTGCTGCAGATCTGCCTTGCAAAAAAAAAAAAAAAGAGAAAAAGAAAATGATCTGGATAAAAAAACTATAATTTACATAAACAAGATTGCTATGTTAGGAATAAATGAAGATAAATAGCAACTTTTCTTATTCTTAATTAATCTAACATAATATTTGCTCTACATAATAAGAGTAACACATTACTGAGTGATAACAGATTATATTCATAAACTATAAGCAATAGAGGGAAGAATTGGGAATAATCTATGTCATGGCTTAAAAGTGGCTCCTCCAAAATTCTGGTGTGGCCAATGGATAGCATTACGAGATAAAGCCATTACAATGTATTAGGAGGGCTCTTGACCCATTAGAGGATTAAGTATAAAAAGGCTTGATAAAGGGAATCTGCCCCTTTTGCTTTCTACCTTCCACCAGTTAGTAAAAGCGGAATCCTCTTTCAGAAGCTATAACATCAAGACAGCATCTTAAAAGAAGAGAGAAGTCCCCACTAGACACCTAACTTGTTGATACCTTTATCTTAGGCTTTAAGCCTTCCAATGTTTGAGAAAACAAGTTTCCGTTCTTTATAAATTACTGTGTCAAGTATTCTGTTATAGTAGCACAAATAGGCTATGACACTTATAAGATATCATCACTATTTATGAAGTGGTTCGGTGTAATTTGAAAGTTAAGTTAAAATTGGTTTCAAAAGTAAACTTGAAAGCTGTAAAAGTATATTGCAAATTTGAGAAAAAAAGGAAGCATAGCTTATATACTGAGGAGAAAGAAAATTAAGTTTTACAAGGTACACAAATCTATAAGAGGCTCATAGTAAAAGACAAAATAGTACGAGGAAAATGAATAGAAAAGAGTAACAAATACAATATTTATTTAATGCTATTATATTAATAATTCCATTAAATGGGAATGATCTAAATATATCATTTTTAAAAGACTGTCACAGTGGATAAGAAAAACAAGACCCAAGATTTTGGCAATGTGAAACACCTATAATTCCAGCCATGAGAGGTAAAAATAAGAGGAACATGGGTTCAAGGCCTGCACAGGCAAAAGCTAGCAAGATCCTATCTAAAACTGAGTTGAGCATTATAAGCACAGGCTTATAATACCAGCTACTCAGGGGGCAGAGGTAGGAAGATCATTGTCCATGAATAACACTGGCAAAAGTACAAGACCCTATCTAAAAGCAAAAGGACTAGGGAATGATTGAAGTGGTAGAATATTTGCTAGCAAGCACAAGGCCATGAGTTCAACCCAAATTTAACCATCCAAAAAAAGTCCATGAGACCCAACTATAGTTTATCCAAAAGAAATCCACTTTAAGTGAGACCTAGTGGTACATGGTTATAATCCCAGAGACTTGGCATGTAGTAGGAGAAAGATCATGGGTTCAAGGCTAGCCTGGGCAAAGGTAGAGAGACCCTGTTTCAAAAACAAAAAAGCTGGTGGCATAAGCCAAGTGGTAGAATGGTTGCTTAGCATGTGTGAACCCTTAGGTTCAATCCTCTATGCTAAAAAGAAAATTAAAAATTGATCTTAAATTATATGAAGACATATGTAGCATGTATACGTAGTAAAGGGAAGAGAAAGATATGCTATGCTAGCACAAATCAAAAGAAAACTGGAGTAGCTATATTAATTTCAGACACAGAGAACATCAGGGAAAAATGATGGGTACTACTTAATAAAAAAAAAGATACATTTTCCATAAAGACATAACAACACTTATATGTATGAAACTAACAATACACTATTAATATGTATGAAGCAAAGACCAATAGAAATGCAAAGAGAAACAGATAAACCCATTATAACATAAGACATAACAACACTTATATGTATGAAACTAACAATACACTATTAATATGTATGAAGCAAAGACCAATAGAAATGCAAAGAGAAACAGATAAACCCATTATAACATTGTAGATTTCAATACTTTTTAATCAGTTATTAACAGACTTAATAGGTAAAAGTTTGGTAATAATATAGTTTAACTGAACAACACCATCAATTAAATCTAGTTGACATTTATAGAACACTTCATCCAACAAGAGAACAGATACTCTTTTTCTCAACTTTGTGAAGATGCTTACATGGAACATTCACCAAAATATACCACAAATCTGGGCCATCAAACATGCCTTCACAAGTTCAAAATAACATAAACCATAATAGAATTAAATTAAAAGTAAATACCACAAAAGAGTTGAAAATCCCCAAGTATTAGGAGATTAAACAATATACTTCTAAATAATAGATGGATCAAAGGAAGTCTCCTGGGAAATTTTAAACTAAAAGAAAATGAAAATATAACTGATGAAAACTTGTGGTCTGAAGTAAAAGCAATGCTTCAAGGGCAATCCATAGCTTTAAATAAATGTCATGCTAAAGGAAAAAAAAGACTTAGAATCAATCATCTAAGCTTTGCTTGAAAAAACTAACATATAAGCATATTAAATTCAAAATAAGTAGAAAAAGTGAAATAACATATTTTTTGATTTGGGAAATGAAGACCAATGAATTAAAAATGGGGAGTCAATAACATGATAGATTATTGAAAAATTTTAAATAAATATATGACATCTGAATATGCATAAAACGTACTCTGGTAATAGTGGGCTAAGAGTAGAAGTAAATATATGATACTGATATGAAATTATCAATGAAGGGTGGGTATAATGGCCCACTCCTATAATCCTAACTACTTGGGAGGCATGCCTGGGGAGAAATCACAGGCCAAAGCTTGCTTGGGTAAAAAGTTAACAGACTAGCTCAACAAAATGCTAGACATGATGGCATATACCTATCATCCCAATAGGAGGCATACAATAGAAGCCATACTGAGAGGAAAAACAAAAATAAACAATAAAATAAAACAAACCCCACATGAAACCATAACTAATAAAAAGAACCAATGCCAAAGGGCTGGGTTATGGTTCAAGTAATAGAGCTCTTGCTTTCTCAGTAAGCACAAGATATTAAGTTCAAGTCACAGGACTAAAAAAGGCAATGATAGCTAGATACCTACTAAAATAAGAAATCTAGAAAAGTCCAAAGAATTTGAAGATTAAATACATATTTCTTAGTAATTCATGTGTTAAAGAACAAAATTATGTAGAAAAACTGGACAATATTTTCAAACAAATCACAATAAAAAAATCAATTTATCTGAAATGCAGCTAAAGTACAATCTATAGAATGTTTGAGAATTCATTGTTTAGAATAGAAAATAGAATAGAATAGATGAATGCTCCTCCTTAAATGCTACTTAAGTTGTTCCAGGAAAGGTACCAGAAGTTGTTTTGTTTTGTTTGTAAACTAAATAATCAAATTTTAAAACTCAAAGTGGACTAATTTTCTGGCTTGAAAATGTTCGCCCAGAGCCCACACATTAAAAGACTTTATCACCAGCTTATGGTGCTATAGAAATAGTACACACTTAAGAGGTAGGGCCTATTGGGAGGAAGTTAGATTTCTGAAGTTGTGC